AAGCCTGCTTCCTGTTGTGGAGCTCCCCGGCACAGAGTCTATACTGGACCAGACCCAGGCCCAGTCAACCCAGGAAATTTTGAATAATCTGGGTGGATTGGAGGTGAGGCAGGAGGGCGGCATGCTGTTGGGTTATCGTTGGGGAGACAGTCGTGTTTACTGGGGACTAGACAAACACGAGCAGAGACCCACAACCAGACCACTCTCCAAAAACAATCCTGAGCTCATCTATTCCCTTAAAGACTTTGTGTCAGGTGAGTAAATGTGTTCGAATTGTTCAAGGTGTGATCAGCAATCATTAACACTTTTCTGCAATACTTGTCAAAGTTCATTCTGGTAGCGGTCAATAAATATTTCTGCCAGTAAAAAGTCCTGTCTCTGTGGCACCCCAAGGCTTTTTAATCTAAAATCTAATCTGGGCCACTGATGTCCAACCACTCAGATATTCTCTGTTTTTCTTTCTTCCTTACTCCTTTTTAAATGATCGCATTAAAATGTACATGTAAAATTTGCATGTGATATCAGATGAAGAAAATTGTCTATGGTAGCCATGCAGATTCTTACATGACATTCTCTTAGATTTACAGGTAACATTCTCAGATTTTATACACCACTAAATGAGGGGACTCCCTAGAGTGGTTTTTATTTTTGTGTGTCAAGAATTTACATATACACAGAAGTATTCTATTTTTTTTTTTTTTTTTTTTTGCCAGAAGTCTGTTGGACAATGATGTTTAAGTGAAGTGAAGTGACTTGTGGCCAAGTATGGTGACCCATACTTTGTGCTCTGCATTTAACCCATCCAAGTGCACACACACAGTAGTGAACACACACCCAGAGCAGTGGGCAGCCTATTTAGCTGCAGCACCCAGGGAGCAGTTGGGGGCTCAGTGCCTTGCTCAAGGGTCTCACCTCCGTCATGGTATCGAGGGTGGCAGAGAGCGCTGGTCATTCACTCCCCCCACCTACAATCCCTGCTGGACCCAAGACACGAACCCACGACCTTCGGGTTCACATTCAGTTTGCAAGTCCGACTCTCGAACCATTAGGCCACAACTGCCCCCACGATTAATGCCAGATTGTATGTTGTTTCACCAGGCATGATGGAGTTTATTCAGAACCGTGGACAGTCTCCTTCATACTCACTCTATTTCTTTCTGGGACAACAGTGGCCCGACCCCAAGAACAAACCATGGGAGAAGAAGCTGATCATGGTAGAGGTAATAAGGAGACTCTCACTCTTTTTACATTCAAATTAGGACATGATGAGTTTACCAGTGTCACTTTTAGGAGATTCTGACATAAAGGAGTTTATCTGGGGGTGGGACTGTATGATAAACAAAACAGTATAATGAGTGTAAACCCAATTTCATGGTTCTGGATACATCATGATACATCTGCTCACAACTTGCTCAGAACCTGAAGACTCTCCATAAAACTAACAGATTGTTACAAAGCACTGACACTGGATACTCCTTCCATAAATATTAAATAAACATTACTTACAGAAAACGTCAATCAATTATGACATTTTTCTTTGTTGAATGACAGCTTGTTTTGTTAATTTGCTTATCAGGAGGCATAGAGTATGGGGAGCATCCACAATAGAGGCCCCTGTGAATGAGTTGTTACTATAGAAACAATAACATACAGAATGCGCACATTATTATAACCTATCAGTTGAATTACTGTACATCCAGCACTATTATCCGAGCCATGCTGCCGAGAATTCAACAGCGCTGAGGTAAAAGTGGAATAAATAACATTCAGGGCCATGCTGTTACGACAGGTGTGATCAACGACAGGTGGTGTCATGCAGCTTGTCGTGAAGGAGAGTTACTGTTACCACCCAGAAGCTGATTATTTTGACGAGGGAACTGAGTATCGGAGATGGGGACAAAAGTTAGTTAGGAATGGAATGCCATATTTATTGATTTGTTGCTGGTAATAGAATCTGAGTGTCAAGTCGTACTATCCAATAGGAATTCACTAGTTGGCTGTCAGTTTGGCATTTGACAAATCTGAATGGTTTAAAACAGTCCTTCAGTTGTCTATCCACATACTTCAATAATCACTTTTCCCATTTTTGGCTTTGCAGGTGGTTCTCACTGCTCTGGAGAAGCTGAAGATGATGGCCGTGGCAAACGGTGCATCCTCACTGCAGTCATCTGTGGACTTGCAGATTTCCTTAGAGCAGATGATGGAAATGTGGTAGAAACGAATTCAGGTCAAATTGCTGGAACTTGGCGATAAACTGCACTCTGTATGAATGATTTGGTCTTAAATAGTTTTTTTGCGGGGGTTGGATAACAGGTAGGACCCCTACAAAAAGACATTCATTTTAAAAGGATTCTATATGTGATGCTCAAGTTCCTGGATAAATAAAGTAAACAAACGGAATAAAATGCATGTCGTTACTTGAATGTAAACAGGCTGGGCCTTATTTTTTTTAATCATAGTGCAAATGCCAAAATGAGACAATACATACAGGGCTGGATATTGTTGGTTAATTGTAAAAAGGCTTGACGCTTGAATGAATACATTATGAAGAGGTGTGGTTAGATGATATTCATTCAAATCACATCCTTTTAATTGAAATTTACTTTGAATCAAAATTTAGTTTACAAGATTTTAATTTGATATTTCTGCGTGTCATACTAGAGCTCAGAGATATAGCATTTATGTTGGTTTGCCTATATGAAGTCAACATTGTTATTGTTAATCAGTTTATTAATTCTCATAATTATATAATGTTCTGTACATATGATGCATCAGTGCTAATAGCAGCACATCAGTGCTAATAGCAGCACATCTGAAAGAGTTTTATTCCTCTTTCATACCACAGTATGGTCGAATTCTTGAACCTGTTTGGTCAGAAGGCGTGCATTATTTTTGAGTGACAGCATATGTTATTCATTAAAAATTAAACATCATAATTGTTGGCAAATTGCTGTGGTGTAAGTGAAAGTAATGGGAACGGGGTGTGGCTAGCGGCACTTCGCTTGCGCGCTGTGCTGCATCACACCCCCCTGAAGCACATTATTTTTGTCTAACAGCATGGTTTGTTCTGTGCTATTCCTTACATACCACAGTAATCTTCCAACAATTAAATAACAACACATCATACTTTCATGCATTTATAGTTACATTAATCATCCACAAAAAAGAGGGACTCCAGGCAATAAAAGTTAAAACTACAGCAGCAGCTAGTTAAGAGTAAACACAGGCTGTTTGTGTAGTCTTGACCGTGCAGCTTCCCACATGTTATTCTCTTTCTGAACCATTGGTTAAAGTTTATGTGTATATTTGTGTGTGTACCTTGATCTCAACTCAAACGTGTATGACCTCACTCCAAAACACTGCAGGATGCACTGAGCATAATGCTCTATACACCATTATTATGCAGCTAATGTGTGCATATGGAAAGGTGGGTGAGCAATTGGAAATTCAAAGCGTGTGTGTGTGTGTGTGTGTGTGAGAAAGTTTCACTATAGTTTTATTTCACTGCCTCATTTTAAACAGGAGGCTTTTCCCCTCTACCTCACGGGAAGCTTAATGTCCTCACTACCACATGAGGTTTACCACAGGGCCGAAGGAAAACACTTCTGCAAACCGGTAACCCACAGCTCAGTAACAATCCAAGGCATGGTGGATGGAAACCTCTACTCTAGGAAACCAAATACAACAATGCCACAGTGGGCAAGTTGTCATTGTTCGCACAGTTGGAAGTAAAATCTCATTAAACCCCATTATTTAACCCCATGGTTCTGAAAGTGGGGTGTGTGCATAGCACAGTGGTGGAAATCAGCATCATTGAAGTTGTTATATCGATTATTGAGTTTTTATAGTTAGTTAGTTAGCCTTTCTGAGGTGTCAAATTCAATGAGTTTACTCCAGATCTTAACAACACAAAACAAGGAGGCCTATAAATAATTTCAACTAATGACAATTAACTAATAACAAAAACGTATTCTGAGTTTAGGAATTAAAAGCTTTATGGCTTCAATAAATATCCAGAATACTGCTGTAAACTTTTAAATAATGGGTCTAATAGAACAGTTGGATTAGGTTCGTAAAATAATTCTGTACTGAAGGGATCTGTGGAATTATTTTACAGTTAATAGTTTGATAGCCCCTGATTTAATCCCCGAATAAGCCACTGCTTATTTTCTTTAGATTTAGTGGAAGTGACATTTCAAACACTACTGGCTGCTGTGGAATTCAGTCACGTTCTTCAGCACTCTCCTTCCTTGACTTGACCATGTTTCAGAAAGTAAATACGTGAAAATCGAAATCAATCACAGTTCTCAAGTCATTTCATGGGCACTTATGCCATAGGTATGACGTAAATTTAAAAAAAATTACACTGCTTCTCCTACATCAAACGAAGGTCTGGCTAAAAAGGATAGAAGTGTTTTTGATAGACTTAAATTTGGATTTCTGTCTTTAAACCGGTAAATAATATGAAAATTTATACCAGTGTGTAAAATCTAACGTTATGCGAGGTTATATGTTTCCAACGACTAACTGCTGATCACTGTTCTTCCCAACGACTAATCACTGATCACCATTGTTCCCTAATGACCATTCAATGATCACCATCCTTCCCCAACAACTAATCACTGGTCAGCAATGTTCCCAACATCCAATCACTGATCCTCATTGTTCCCTAATGACCAATCACTGATTGCACTGTTCTCAATGACCAGTCCCTGATCACTGTTGTTCCCAATGACCAATCACTAATCACCACTGTTCTCAAAAACCAGTCTCTGAACATCATTCCCAACCACCAATCACTGATCACCATTGTACCCAATGACTAATCACTGATCACCATTGTACCCAATGACTAATTACTGATCACCATTTTTCCCAACAATTAATCAGTGTTCCCTCTATTCTATTCTATTCTATTCTATTCTATTCTTAGAAAATGCTCCTTCATGTAACGTTTTGATATGCAAAAGATGAGTTTTGATGATGTGTTTATGAGTTTATCAGTCGTGGCCTAATGGTTAGAGAGTCGGACTTGTAACCTGAAGGTCGTGGGTTTGAGTCTCAGGTCCGGCAGGGATTGTAGGTGGGCGGAGTGAATGACCAGCGCTCTCTTCCACCATCAATACGAGTGAGCTGAGACCCTTGAGCAAGGCATCGAACCCCCAACTGCTCCCCGGGCGCCGCAGCAAAAATGGCTGCCCACTGCTCCGGGTGTGTTCACGGTGTGTGTGTGTGCACTTGGATGGGTTAAATGCAGAGCACAAATTCCGAGTATGGGTCACCACACTTGGCTACGCGTCACTTCACACTCTTAATATACAAATTAGTCTGGTGACTTCTAGTGATTTTTGAGTATGCTCTGGTTCATCTTTCAGTTGAACTGGTCCTTTCCTTTGAATCTCAGTCAGACAGAGCTCTTTAGTAGGACACACCTTTCCGTTACTCTTTAACACTGTTTAGCGCTGTTGATCAGGTTACTGATTCTGCTTGTGTTTCCTTCCCTTTCTGCCACCTGTATCTCATTCTTTCTATACTAGCTTCTATTTTTTTAGTCTCTGTCTCTAATCCAGCATTATATTAGTTATGCTATAATCCTTTAATGGCTTTCAACTTCATCTCCTTTCTCTGGCCCGCTAATGATTTTTTTAAAAAGCCAAATGAAGCTTACTGTGTAGTGACCCAAGGAGTCCACACGAGGCCGCTATTTCCCAAAAGTAGGAGACCAGCCAAGGCATTATACAGTTACACTGTGTATGGCTGTCTTATCGGGCTTTTCTTTAACAAAGTGGGCTAAAGGCATGGATTGAAACATAGAATGTATATGTGATGGGGGTATGGACAATTAAGAAATACTCGATTAGTGGTGGGCATAATTTTAGGTGCAAGGTATGTTGTTTTGAACATATCAATGAAGTTTTCATACTCATCTATGTGGTGAGTTGGCATAGCGGGGAGTGTTGTTGCCTCATGTTGTCAAGGTTGCTGGGTCAGTCCTGAGCTCTGGTTACTTTCAGGTTGTATTTATTGACAGAGACTTCTCTAAGTCTCTCTGGATAAGGGTGTCTACCAAAAGCCCTAAATTTAAATGTAAAGGCTGTGTGCACCTTTATATTCATACGTTCATTTATAGTAACCTCTTTATCTTGGTCAGTGTTGCGGTGTTACACAGGAATACACCCCATAAGTAAGACACCAGTCCATCACAGGGCACCTCACACACACATTCCCACACTCATTCATACCGAGAGGAAATTTTGAGTAGTTAGTGTAGTTGAATAGTAGTTAGTGCCATGTTTTTGAGAGTTGGCAGGAAACTGGAGAACCCAGAGGAAACCCACAAGGACTTGTAATACTACTACTACTAGAGAATAATGGACTAATGCACATAATGACCTCAGTAGCGAAGAAATAAACACCAATGTGGCCGTGTGACATTCACTCAGAAGGACACAGTTGAGGGTGTTTCTGCATCCATATTCTCATTGTAACATGTACTCTCAGACAAAATGAATCTGTGTACTGTATGTTTTCACAAGACACACTGGACCCATTTGAATGCCATAGGATATCCGAATATAAGAGTCAATTGCACCAAAAAGAGCCACAATTGTCCAGATATGAACACTGAACATCCTTGGATATAAGACTGAGGCTGAGACAATATGAGAATCATGTCATATAACAATCACAGTATTTGATTTCAACTTTAATTTCAAGTAGGATTACATCAAATGTTAAACATACCAGTGCAACTTTTTAAAAGAAATGTTAAAATCTTCAGTTCTTTATAAATACAACATAGAAATATGCAGATTCCTTTTGCTTTTCATTATCACAGTATACTTTCATCCTGGTATCTCTTCGCATGTCTAGAGTTGAGGTAATCAGAACATTCAGGAAATCTCTTAATAAATAAAACTCCAAGTGCCAAGCTTATTTACATAACACAATAACTTTGAACAATTTGATTATGCATTCATTTGCTAAGAATTACCTTTGGTTAATGACTATGATAAATATTAATCAGAGAGAAGTCATGCTGCTGGTTAGACAAGAAAGAAACGTACAGCAAATACTGCGCTAGAGAAATCACAAGACATGATTTTCCACTGTGTAGTGCCAGTCTCCACTGGTGCAGAAAGGGCACACCTGTCTCATGACAGGAAAGAAAACAGAATGCCTGCTAACATCCAAATGTTCAGTGTAATCATGTGCACAGAGATATAAATAGCAACAAAACTTCAAAAGTGTAAACATTGCATACAGAAAATTCTCAGACATGGCAGACAGGATAAGGATTGTGCCATGAATGGAAACACACAGTAGAAAGGTATGTGTTTTTTTTTATCTGTTACTACAGAGGGTTGTTCGGACAGCCTAGATCATCTGCAGATGTGAGCTTCCTTCCATCCAGGACATCCACCACAGATGGTGCATCAGTGAGGCTTGTAGCTTTGTAACACCCTGGCCACCCCAACCACAAACTGTTCCAGCTGTTGCCATCCAGGAATGCGGTACTGCAACCTGAGGGCCAGGACCAGAGGGCCGGGGCCTGTTGTAAACCTCACACCCTGGTTTACACACACACACACACACACACACACACACACACACACACACACACACACACACACATGCATCTGCACTATTTATATGCATAATTATTCACCTTCCAATGTCCTACATCACTTTTGTTGCAATCCATTGTCGATACTAGATACTGTTTTTCAGAACCTATTTCATATGCTCTTATTTATTTCTCTACTCTTTTTATGTTGCTTGAATATCTGTCTTGTTTGTCTTGTGTGTCTTGGCTATATATACACAACTCTCTCTCTCTCTTTCTCTCCACACACACACACACACACACACACACACACACACACACATATATATATATATATGTAAATGTACACTGCTCAAAAAATTTAAAGGAACACTTTGAAAACACATCAGATCTCAATGGGAAAAAATATCATGCTGGATATCTATACTGATATGGACTGGGTAATGTGTTAGGAACGAAAGGATACGACATTGTTTGATGGAAATGAAAATTATCAACCTACAGAGGGCTGAATTCAAAGACACCCCGAAAATCAAAGTGAAAAAATGATGCAGCAGGCTAGTCCATTTTGCTGAAATTTCATTGCAGCAACTCAAAATGGTACTCAGAAGTTTGTATGGCCCCCACGTGCTTGTATGCCTGACAACATCAGGGCTCCTAATGAGACGACGGAGGTGCAACCTGGTGGCGTCGGATGGACCGAAACATAATGTCCCAGGGGTGTTCTATTGGACTTAGGTCAGGCGAGCATGGAGGCCATTCAATGGTATCAGTTCCTTCATCCTCCAGGAACTGCCTGCATACTCTCGCCACATGAGGCCGGGCATTGTCGTGCACCAGGAGGAACCCAGGACCAAGGATTTCATCCCGATAGCTAATGGCAGTCATGGGTGCCATGGGTGCCATTGTCTAGCCTGTACATATTATCATTACATCATTATTCAGACCACAGATGTAATGACAGTTACACATACTCATTGAGGAGTTTGCCTGGTGTACATGCAGAATTTAAAGCTTCAGGTTCTGTATCTTGCCTAGTTTTTGTGTAATATCTTGTCTACTGTTGTAAGATCTTGCAAGGTCATGGTAGCTCTACGCTATACTAATTCATTTGCAGAGGTTTAGTCACTTCTGGGTTTTCCTAATAGTTTGTATTTATGGTTATTGCTTAGTTTCGTAGGTGTAATCTTGCCTTGGTTTATTAACAACATCATAAAGCTTGATTTTGCTATTGTTTCTACTTCCACTTTCAACATTAGTTATTTCACTGTGGTAAACTTGGTTCTGTCTCTTGTTGTACTGTATCTAATAAATCCTTCTACACTATAATCAACACTGTCTTTGTTCTGTCCTGTCATTCACCATAAGCCTTCACCATAAGACCCAGGCAGTGTGAAGGATAATTAAGCCAAGATAATGGGAACAGTTACCTAGACCTACAGGGCTGTCATGAACAACAAAACCAGATCACCATTGCTGTAGGCAGCTACAGACATTAGAGGAGACAGACGTTAATCTGCTTGTTCCTTGTGATTCCTGTCTCACTAAACCAGAAAGGCTTGTTGGTAGCCCTGAATGACGTCATGGATTCTTACTACAATGCTCCGTGTATTGCACCCATACTCTATCCAGTTTCCATAGCAATTTCACTACAACAGCCTCCAAAGTGTCATTAGTCATAGGGATAGCCAGAGAATGGGCCACCATTGTCTGGAAATGACACCAGCTGTATGAGAGAGCTTCCTCAATCTCTTTTGGTTGGATTTGTCCGTTACAAAGAAGGAAGAGCGGAAAAGGGGTCAGCTGAGCTAGTCCTTTTTCTCTAATAAGCAAAGGGTGGAGTACCTGACTATGCCAAACAACAGTAATGAATGAGCGCTCATTACCATGTACACATGTGTGTGAAGTGTGTGAAGAGGTGCAAACTGAGCTCGCATTCAGAGATTACTTCTCAACAGCTCCACCGGGCTGGAGAACCTATCGAGAGAGCTCTATCATCTGCAGCCAGTTATGGTTTATTATAGCTTACTATGGCTTATTATAAACATAACTGGAGATGGACAGGACTCTGAAAGGCTGTTCTTATACTCAGGGACTTGGGCCATACCAGTACCAGTTGCAAAGCTCATCCTGAGAATCACCAAAGTAAATCATTGTCATTGTAAGTCATTGGTGATTGAAACTGAGAATTAAAAAATGTCCTCACACTTTCAAGTACTTATTTCTGTCTGTTGGAATGGTATTCTGCTAGTGTTTAAGGAATTTTTCCAAGCTAGAACTATGGAGTGCATACAACGTCATCCATATTTGAGAGGGAAATGAGTACAAGCCAACTTTCTCAACAACAGCCAAGCACTTTGAATATATGGTTATATCACATGGCTTGTCCGATGCCTCATCTGTGATCCAGTCATTTGTCAATAAGTTCTTTTCTAACATGCACAACAGCTTTGCTGTCATCTACATTGATGACATTTAGATGTATTCTTCATTACAAGGAAGCTGGAAC